CAGGTGGAGTCCAACCCTTGAGAACTGTCCTTTGTCCATGAATGCCCCTCAGTGGCTGAACATCCCAAAGTCCTCCTTATAGCACCACTGTGTGAGTAATATGTTGATTAGCATGATTTTTCTTGACTTCATTCTCATCCTATAAGAATCTCACTGACTATCCTCTGAGTCTCCATTTTTTCAAGCATCTTCCTCAGCTTCACCTTGTTTCCCTAGATGCATTCTAGTGAGAATTCAGTTGTGTCATATGTTCCTACAAAGGACAATCAGTGGATTCTTTCCTGTTCCCGTATCTTAGCTGTTTTCAACTCTGCTGGCTTTTTCCCTAGCAAGAAGGACCACAGGCTCACCTCTACTCCCTCTCTTCCCCTCTACTAGAAAGAGGCTAGTATTGCCCCTGAGCACAGAGCAACACCACAAGGAATCTAGGACAAATGCTGTTGCATTCAGCGTGGGACTGGGAGTGGGACTTGAATTCTGCATTTCAGGAGAGTCACACCCAATTCAGGACAGGTAGTCCCCCCCTACTTCTGTTCCCAAACCACTGGAATGCTGTATAGACAGAATAGTCCATGCATGTAGATAGAGTTGCTGGATCTGGTTCTTAATTGAAAACACTGAAAGAAATGAAAGATCTACACTATTTCTTGAAACAACTGGTCTCTCAACATTTAGGACTTGATTGTGATGCTGCTACTCACACTGAGTTATTATGACCTAGATTACAATGAACTCAATAAGAGCATGAGTGAAGTAGGGTACTACACAGCATGAGCAGGATTATCATAATCATGGTCTTAGCTTTAATTTTTGTGTTCTCACTCTTCTCCGGTTTGCTATTCTTGGGTCTAATTCTAATCTCTCTCTTGTTTTAAATTGGTGTAACTTCACCCACTTATTAAGTTGCCTTGATGAGTTCTTCTGGGAGTTAAACATCAGGCCCCATGGCTACAACTCTAAAAATAGCAGTTTAAAGGTAGGTTTATTAAACCATCTTCAGACCATGACAAAAGTGGACTAATTTGGAGAAGTGCTGAGTGTCCAGCAGCTCCCTCTGACTTTGGCTCCTGTGTTTCCAGAGGGGTGTTGCGGCTCTCTTGATTTAAAGATTGTCTTGGTGTATGAATTTGGGTTGTTTCCCTAAGCTTACAACTAGGACACTTAGTAAAGTTTCAGTCATGGCTCACAAGTCTCAAACCCAGGTCCACAGGAAGACCAAGAGCAGTCACACTTTTGCCCTCCACCTAGTTGCCTTCAGACAACTTCTGACCCAGGACCCACAAAGCCCAGCCCCAATTTGAGACACAAAGTCCCAGAATGGCTGACTGGTCACTCCCCTTCCCACAGCCTTATGTAAGCCAGGTACAATCAGCCTTCCAAACACCTGAGATCTACCCTGCTCCTGCTCTTGTTCCCCAGGTCTGATCTCCTGACATTGTGACCTAGTTGGACTCCAGCCCTCTGACTTGCAGTTCTGCTCTCTGGCTTGTCTCTTACTTCTAATCTCCTTGGTAATCACTTTGGGTATGTCTAGACAGTGGGGCTATTTTGGGATACCAGAGGTCTCCCTTAATAGCTACCTTGCATCTTTGAAACGTTCCCATTATTTCAAAATATTTTTTGAGATAACAAGCACACTATTCCAGCATCCCTGTAACCCTCTTTCCACAAGAGTTAAGGGATGTCTTGAAATAGCGCGTTATTTCAAAATCTGACTGTACAGATGCGCTGAATTTCGAAATAAGCTATTTCAAAATACAATCAAAGTAAGATATGCAATCTGCATAGCACAAGTTGCATAACTCATTTTGAGTTTAGGGTGCTGTGTACACACACCCTTTGTGATTACCACCTTGTGGTATTGATCCCCAGTATGTCCCCTGCTTCTGACATCCAGTTCAACTTATTCCCAATTGAGGACTTTGGTTCTGACCACTAGGTATAGCTGCCTACAACCTGACCCTGATAGTTTCTACCAAATGGAAAGATTTTACCAGTAATGAAAGACAGTTCCTATACAACAAATTGGAAATATTGCTAAAAAAAAAAAAGCCTTTCAAGTGGTACAACACAAGGTTTGTGAGTATGCTCTGCAACTGATGACTTTAGAATATACCAACTACATACATGAGCTGATAATCACTCTCACTAAAAGAACAGTAACACAACATTTAATGATATTTCTATCCAATGTTAAATCCTTACATTCAACACGATTACAATAAATGTCTTAGATAAGAACTAAAATAACATTTGAATGTTATTATTTTTTCAATTTCACAACCAATATGCAGTTTTATAAAGTTATCAGATTATGGTTTACTAAAAAGGAATCTGGAAGCCCATGTTCAGACATGTATCATAGGGGTAGCCATGTTAGACTGTTTCAGCAAAAAACGAGGACTCCTGTGGCACCTTAAAGGCTACTAAATTTATTTGGGCATAGGCTTTCCTATGCCGGAATCCATTTCATCACATGTATGTGTTATATTACAATGCGGCGAACCAGTGCTAATGAGGTCAATTCACTCAGGGTGGATGTGGCCCATTCGCAACAGTTGATGAGAAGATGTAAATACCAAAAGAGGGAAAATTACTTTTCCACCTGGAGTCAATATCTCCATCTAAAGTGGGAGGGAAGGAATAAATTCTTAAGCACAGTCACATAGGTTCCTGGAACTGGGATTCTGTAACTTCTAAAATATTCTGAAATCTACAAAGATAATCTGAATCTAAAGACATCTGCATAGAGGGCAAACTCCTCTGTGCTGCAGCCTAGATGCCTCTAATAGCATCACAGATCTCTCAGGTGATGGCTGGCCCCCATCCAACTCCAAAGATAGTTGAAAGCAGAGCTGTGATCCTTAGGAACAAATGACAACAATGTCACCATTAAATCCCAAAGCCATTCCCCACAGATTTGCCATGTAAAGCTGCTGCACAGGGCAGTTCTTCTCAGCCTTACCATAACCCACCCTTTAACACATTTTGGGCCAGGATTCTTAAATACAAACAACCTACGTTAAAGAAAATAGGTAAATGATTTTTCACAAGATCATTTAGACCATTAATATAGTCATACTGGTGTAGGTAAGTGTGAAGAACAAAATCATTCTAATAAAAAAGCAATCTTATTTTAATAACATTGGAACACTATCTTCCTCTCTCTCCCTCTCTCTTTCTCTCTCTCTGAAAAGAGAAAGCAGTGTCTTTTAAAGAAAAAGCTACACATTTAATATATTAATTAAGCTATAACTTATGATAGGCAGTATATTTCTGGGCAATTACCACACAGTGTTATGAAACAGGGGGTCAAAGGCCAAATGAGAAACCACCAGAGACGTACAATAATCCCATTTCTCTAGAAATTAACTACCTGGAGTATATTGTTATGTTACGGTTGAAGGTGAGTTAAAAAAAAAGGAAGAGAGAAGTGCACTCATTTAGTAGGCATACATCAGTTAATTCACACAGAGATCAAAAAAGATCTATTTCGACTCCAGAATTCTGAATCTATTTTGCATTTTCTTAGTAAAAACAAATGAGACAGAAAACAGTAATATGACATGCATGCATAAAAATTTATCATTATATCCCTGTTGAACTGAAGCGGGTCATTTGTATTAATACATACAGCAGGGGGCAGCAGGATCCTTCCCCAGAGCTTTGTTTCAGCTCTAACTACCCTCCAAATTCTGAAGGCCTATCTTTTCATATGGCTTTTTAAAAAATCCATCTAGCAGATGAGATGTTTCTGTCAGTCTCTTCATTATGGGCTAGCAGAGAGGCTTAATCTGTTGGCTCCAGCACAGATATGACTTACAGGATGAAGGGAATCCATGCTTGGTGGATCTCAGGAGGGGAAAATATAGTGTTTACTGGCTAAGTCGAAAAACACCAGAATGTATAATAGGACACAATTTGGTAGGGCAATTGTATACTGTATTACAGAATTCTTGTGGTCTACTTGTTTTCAAAGGTCTTTCTGTATTTGTGCATAAGATGTTCCACTATGACACTCTGAAAATCAAAGAAGAGATTTACAGTATATGACAACTGTTAAAATTAATAACTGATGCTACCTCTAGACTGCAGGTTTCTTTCAGAAGAGATCTTCCGAAAAAACTTCTTCTGAGAGAGAACGTCCACACTGCCAAAGCACATCGAAAAAGTGATCTGCTTTTTCGAAAGTTAGTGTCCACACTGAATGGATGGTAACTCAAATTTAAGTTGTGATTACTAAGGATGGAGTGGCCGCCAGGGTACCTGTGCTTTTTCCTCTTTCCTCTTCTATCAAAAGAACTCCCTCTTCCCTGTCCACACACGTCTTTTTCTGAAAGAGATCTTTTGGAAAAACGCTTCTTCCTCATAGAAAGAGTTTTATCAATGTCAGGAAACCCCCTCTGTTCTTTAGATTTTTTTTTTAAGAACACGATTGCAGTGTGGATGTAAGTGAAGTTTTTCAGAAAAATGGATGTTTTTCTGAAAAAAGCTCTGTAGTGTAGACATAGCCTAAGAGTTACCTCCTCTGGTGGTGCAGCAGCAGCAGAAATAAACACTTTTATAATTTGTTCCTATTTATTTTCATACTTAGGCTTCAAGGGTTTACCCTTGTGAATTTTTTCAATCTCAAATTGTAAAAAAGAACATTAAAACTTATCAGAAATGGCTTCAAGAAGAATAAAGGGGAACATGAAGCAACACAAAATAACCTACTCAAAAAGCTGGCACTTGGAGAGTTATCCCCTGCAGTCCCTGATGCAGCACGTACTTCAGACAATAATTATTTCTTTGCCTTGGATTTAGAAGCTGCAACAGTGCAAGTGTACAAATGATTAACATATTACAAAATTGATATTCCAACAATGCTTAATACTACTTAGCATAAGACAAACCAAATGTCTCTGAACTATTATGACTACAATGATAACTTCTGCATGAAAGTAAAGCTGTACTCATAAAATTTTAAACAGAGTTCTGGAAGTGTTTAATTTATTTACCTGCTGCAAAGAGCATGACTGCAACTGGTCTGTAGAATCGTCTCCGAGATCCCACACAGATAGAGATCAAACCAACCAGGAAAGCTATCAGAATGATGGCAGCACCACCCAAAAGCAAAGCAAGAGTCGCTATCTGCCAGTCTAGAATGAAAAAGAAATAAAAACAATTGCGGCAAAACAATAACCACTTGCTCTACAGAAGAAAAGGAGAACTATGAAGAAGACAAAGCATATCAAAACCGGAAGAAATAAACAACCTTTTTTTTTTCATGAGTGCAAATCCTTCAGGGATTTTTAAATGATTCACATGATAGATTCAATTTAAAAGCCAAATCGTGCAATCATCCCTCGAAGTTCAATTGATCTCACTATGAGTTTTGTCTGAGTAACAACTGTAGGAGCTGAGTCTTGTTTTTGCCCAGTTTAGGAAGAAAGGACAAGTTTATGTCCGGGTTTGTTAACATGTGTTAGCTTAACCCAATCTAAATCACAACTTTCTCCTACTATAGAATAAAGGTTAATACCTTAACTTGCTTGAGCAGGCCAAGGCTGACCCTCATGAGCAGGCCTGGGCAAAACAGGGCCAGCGGACCACATCCGGCCCGCCAAGCCACCAGATCCAGCCTGCAAACACAGCGGAAAGCCCCGCCCCGGCCCCCCCCCCCCCACACACTGCTGAGAAAAATGGCTGCCCAGTCATTTGAATTTCTCACCTGTGGGGGAGGACGGAGGAAAGGCTTCATGCACTGTCCCCGCCCAAGCACAATCCCATTGGCTGGTTTCTTGCCAATGGGAGCGTCCTGTTTCAAGAACAAGCAGTGCACAAAGCACCTCTCTCCTCAGGCTCTTATTCACAGATGCAAATGGCCCCTGCAGCCTGTGCATGGGCAGGGCAGGCAGGGACTCTGCCTGAAAAACCTGATGAGCTGCTGGCTGGGAGTTACCCCAGTAAGTCTCCTGGTCAGAGCCTGCCTCTGGCATCCCATTCCCTTCTGCCCTTTCCACAACGAACTGCCACCACACATAAACCAAACCCTTTGCCCCACTCCTGAACCCACACCCTCTCCCAGGTCCTATATCCCAATCCTCTTCCCTAGGTCACAACCCAAACCCCTGCACTAGATTACAACCCCTTCCTGTCCTAGGTCACAACCCAAACCCCTGCACCCCAATCCCTTGCTCCAGGTCACAACCCCCTCCTGCCCTAGGTCACAACCCAAACTTCTGCACTTCCTCATGCACCCCAGTTCTGTGCCCCATGTCATAACTGCCTCCTTCACCCAAACTCCCAGATCCCACACACCCTCTTTCACCCCAACCCCTTACCCCAAGTTTCCTTCTGCACTCAGCCTCCATCTCAGACCCGAAGAGTGCAGCCCATGACCATGTTCCAAAATCTTGGTGTGCCTCCTCTTCAAAAATTATTGCCCACCCCTGGGATATGATCACCTAGTTTCTGACTATGAAATGGGAAGTCCCATAGCCCCAACTTTTTCTCTTGGAGAAAAAATACACATTCAATAACCTGAATCAGAAAACTCAGAGTAAGGGAGGGATACAATATTCCCTTTAATCTTTTCTATTCATCTCTGGATTTTTTCTGTTCACATGCAAAATAAATGTTTATGCGCATCAATGTGTATGTGAATGTGCACCACCAACAGAACACAAAGCCTATCTGTGGCAGCATTTGGATTTCTGCAAATCTGCTGGACAGCATTTGAATTTCTCCTGAATGGCTGCAAAAGCACACATCTTACAAGGAAAAGTGGCAGGACACATTACAAGCAAGAATTAATTTTGAACTAAAAACAAATAAAAATCCAGAAACTTCCATGGGCCACAGTAATTAGCATAATAAACTGGATGGACCAAATCCTGAAGTCCTTACTCAAGTCCTTACTTTGGCAAAACTCCTAATGAAGTTAATGGCAGTTTTGCTTAGATACAAGTTCAGGAATTGGCCCAGTGACAATTCACAAACATCTTGGCTTTCTGGAATCAAGCACTTCTGTAACTGTAAAATCAACCCTTCGGCAGAGGGCCAGCCAATCTTAATTTGATGGTTTAATCTGGATTTGAGGAGCCTTGTGCTGATCGTCTGCAAAGAAGCAGATTTCAACCCTAGTTCCATTTCAACACTGGATCAAGCAAGAAGATCATAGAAACAACTTCAGTCATTCAGAACTGAAGGAGAAATATTCACTAACAGAAATCCCCACCTTCGATTATTGGGGACAGAAAGAGCTATGAATTCTTTGGATCTCTCACTGCTTGGCATGTCTAATACTGATAATTCACTTGGGATGGAACAGCAAAGTGTATGACTCGTTCAGTGTTAATAGAGAACTGCTGTAGGATCCCATTCTCAACATGGATTTAGAGATCAAACTTTACCAGAATAAGCGCAAGTCAACAGGAATAAATTTCTCAGAATTCTTAACTTGTTTTAAAAAGGCAAGCAAAGTATGTTAGAAATTAAGCACACTTGGGTTCCAACAATTAGTTAATTAGATGGATGCTTGCAGTATGGATGATGGATGAAAGAGAGGAAGAAGAAACTATGGAGAAAGAAGTCTGTGAATTCATTTCTAAATGAAAGTGATATTGTCTTCTGAAAGGCATATTTGTGTGTGTATGTGTTTTATTTTTATGCTACTTAAATGTTTATGAATATATGTTGTCATTTTAATTACTGAAAAATATCCAAAAATGTTTTAATCTTTATTTATTCTTTGTTTTCTTAGAAAAGCAATCATTAGGAAGACATATGCTCAGGTGATACTGTGAATTTGATTTCCCTGCACATAAAATCAGCAAAAAGGATCTGCACCTTAGATCCCAGCTACATACACTACTGCCGTGGTCTCCAACCCGGTGCCCGCAGGCGCCATGGCACCCGCCGGGCTCTTTACATGCGCCCGCGGAGCAATCTGGGCTGGCAGGTGCCAGCCCCGGGCGCATGGCTGGTCCCGGCCCCGGGTGCGCCGCGCGTGACATCGCTTGATCATTGTCTTCGGTCCACCCTCTCTGGGGCACCTGGTGCTGGCCACTGTCAGCAAACAGAATACTGGGCTAGATGGACCTTTGGTCTGACCCAGTACAGCTGTTCTTATGTACACAGTGGTCCCCAACGTGGTGCCCGTGGGTGCCATGGCATTTATGTGCGCCCACCTAGGCTGCCCCCGGGAGCGCGGTTCTGGGCGTGCAGCTGCAAGCCCCGGGCTGCCCGACAGCCCCGCATGGTGCCCGCCACCTGAAAAGGTTGGGGACCACTGCACTACTGTAACTACACTGATGCACTATGCCCATGTAAATACATATCCTCTAAATGCAATATATACATAGTATACAGCTAGTTCAAACTCCATAAAGTAAACATTCTGCAATATCCTAAAGATGAGCTACCACCGCATGATTCAACCCAGTAAATTACCAGTAATCTGTGTATGCGTTGACCATCTTTATACTAATGGGTTTGTGCCAGTGTAATTATATAAATAGGAATCTAGCAAATTCAAGTGTATGAAAAATGCATTGAAGACAGTGAAATCTGATCTTTTATGTGCTTTACCTGATAGTATATAGATTTCATGAAGGAGATCAGCATTTCTCAAACTGGGGGTCTTGACTCAAAAGGGAGTTGAAGGGGGCGTTGCAGTATTGCCACCCTTATTTTTCCACTGCCTTCAGAGATGGACAACTGGAGAACAGCGCTGCCGGCCAGGTAGGCACTTAGCTCTGAAGGCAGCATCTGCCAGAGGAAGTGCAAAAGTAAGGGTGACAACGACATACCCATGCTATTTTTGCTTCTGAGCTGCTGCCAGTGGCAACTCTGCCTTCCAAGCTGGGATCCCAGCCAGCAGCCACTGCTCTCCAGCTGCCCAGCTCTAAAGACAGCAGCTGTGCAGAAGTAAGGATGGCAGTACTACAATTCCCTCCTATACACACACAAATGCGCACACGCACACAACTCCTTTTAGGGACAGGACCTCTACAATTACATTGAAATTTTTATTGAAATAGCTAAAATATATTTTTTTTAATCCTATGACCATGAAATTGACTAAAATGGACCATGAATTTGGTAGGATGGAGTTACATTACAGAAATGTGCAACAATATAGACAGGTCCTCAGTGACTGAGGTTCAAGATATTGGACTGTCTATTGGCCTGGGAACCAGGAACTCTTCAAGTCTCCTGCCCTGACTCAATATACAGTTAAAGAAGTCACTTATTCTAACTCTCTCTGTGTTACTGTTAATGAAATGGAAATACTCTCTTATCTACCCACAGGAGTGTTACAAGGACTAACTGGCTAATGCTGATATGACGATGAAAATTTTAAATTAGGGATATAAAATACCATGTAAAATGTTAACTGGTTAAACTATATTTTTAATTAACTGGTCCACCACGTTATGCCGAGGATGGGGGCTGCTCCGGCTAGACCCAGCCAGGTACCAGTTAACCAGTTACCCAGTAAGCATGCCAGTAAGGCAATGCTTATTGGGTAACTGGTTAACTGGTTACCCCTTTATGTCCCTATTTCAAATAAGTATAATTTCGGTTAGATTATTATATTGCAGATTCATAAGACACTTTCCCACTAATAGAGTACCATGGAAAATGAATATATAAATATTGCAACACCCACAAATATCCAATGGAGGGGCAACACACCAGCATAGATTCATATCAGAGAAAACACTACGCTTAGAAATTGCACAGGTACACAGACAAAAACAATTCATCTAATCCAGAAGGGAAAGCCTTCCCAAGAGTGCAAGTATAAACTGAATTAGAAATGCATGGAGAAGCTAAGGAATGTAAATTTTACATGCTTACAAATAATAAGAGATTCCATGTGATTTTCAGGTTGAAGAGAAGCCACTATGTTTCCTTATATAAATTAGTATGACACTGAAGCTACAAGGTGATGAGAAAGTTAAGAATGCTACTGCAAAGGAATTGTAAATAGTTACAGGAAGGATGATCAAGTTGTAACAACAGTCCAAGCAAAAGACGTGAATTTGGGCTAACTTTATGGATCTAAGCCACTTTATGGATTTTTGAAAGGTTAAAAACAGTGATACTACCAAGTTTAATTTCTGTTGGGATGGTAAACAGACAATTCAAT